ACACACACACACTCACACACACACACACACTCTCTCACACACACACACACACACACACACACACACACACAATCCAGTACATTAACTCTGTGTGTGTTTATTTCAAAAGTACACAAGTTTTCTTGTAGTTAGTCTGCTGTCATTATAATTAGCTTCATATAAAACTATCCAAGCCTATATGATCTCTTTCAGAGAACTACATAAACAAGTGACACTTTTACAACAATTATAAACCCACAAATCCCGATAAAATAAATTGAAAATAAAATAAAAAGTGTAAGAGAAATATGAGTTTCCTGATGTTTGTGTGAAGCATATGAGGTAATAAACACAAAACTATGTCAAAGCTCCCACTGCGGTGTTATTGTGCGACTGAGACATGCTTGTGCATTCATAAAACAACACAAAGCATCAGTGATGAGTGGCACACTGCGTGTGAAAGCGTCCGTCGGCGGTGTGTTTGAGCGTCACATGACCCTGCAGGGCTCCGTGTCGGTGCGTGGCGCGGGCGTTTGGCTCTGTTTCCCCGTGAAGATCCCGGCGCTGAGGCTGAGGCTCTGGAAGGCGCTGAGAAGTCCGAAGCTGTCGTCTTTAGCAGCGGCTTCGGGAACAACCATCTTCGCCAGATCTCGCGGGAGACACACTCTCCCCCCCACGGCACGCAGCTGCTCCGCGTCCTTGGCATTCTGGGACGGATTAAAGAGAGCAGACTAATGAGCCGGAGGACAAATCACAATCACATCTCATTACAATGATTTTGAACAACATACAGGGATTTATTCTCTGTGCAAAACTTTTATGCATTTGGCTGAGGCTTTAATTCAAAGTGTCTTGCATTGCATATAAGCTACACATGAAGGCTGTTTAATTGTTTAATTGAATAGATCAAATTTATTCACATGCAAACATGATTTATGAATGTTTTTAGGTGATTAGACAGTTTTCTGCAAGATTCCCTCAAACACAACACTCATGCAAGAAAGCCTCGGTTTATAATTAACTCACAGTGTAATTCCCCTTACAGAAAAACACGTGCAATTAAAACGTGGATTTGATATTCATGGTGTAAAAAACCAATGTGAAAAACACACGTTTACACCATCAAAATGTTCCAAAACCACATTTCACATGCATATTTTACATGTAATTTTAACATGTGATTCTTCTGGAAGAGTAACAATGATGTTTTGATCTCTCTGACATCATATCTGCGTGTTAATATGCTACACAAGTGTATCAGTTCTTGTGATGTCATCACCTAAGGTCCGTTCACACCAATAACGATAATAACTATAAAGATCTACAATCCCACGGACTCTAAGAGAATAGAGAGTTCATGCTACAAAGAGGACCTTGGCCAGCTGGTATTTCCTCCTGAAATGTGCTCTGATCGCAGCTCTCTCGGCGTTCTTCTGAGCATTCATCGCTTCACGCAGCTTCCTGAGGATGGAGTGAGAGAGCGTTACTGTTCACAGTGAATCAGTCAGACGTTCTGATTGTAACCTGAGCCTCTTTCTTCACATCACATGATGTTCTGAGGTCCTATCTGGTGACCCGTCTCACCTCTCTCTCTCCAGGTCGGCCTGATAGGATCGCAGCAGATGCGGGTCCGGCGCACCGGTCCTGCCCTTTGACCCGGGCCATTTGGACCCTCTCTTGGACCGCTGCTTCTCTCCGCTCACGCAGAACTTGAGCGTCTTTATGGGAGCCAGCAGAGACGTCTTCAGCACGGACTCCATGACGCTTACGATCAGATCTATAGCAGCACTATCTGTGTGTGTGGCTGGATCATCATCAGACGGTGCTTTAATCACACACACGGGGACAGATGGAGAGACTCAAATCTGCAAGGACAAGGACACAAACATCAATTATATTCACACACATCACGTGTGCTTCCAGTGTCCCAAAAATCAGCCAACATGGTCAGAAAAATCAGCTTCGTTCGAAGGGAAAAACAAGACCCAATTGGGAGACATTTGTTCTCGTTTTAACCATAAACTCACTTAATTTGAACACATTTCTCATTAAACAAGACTTCGTATCATTTTGCATCTCCAGTAAATGTGTCTTGATTTAAGGATGTTTAGATATTTGTACTGGAAAACAAGGCAAAAATCACTTTTTGTAACTAACTTGAAACATCAGTCAGTTCCACAGTTTAGAGTCATTAGATATTAATATATGAGCACAGAATGACTGATCTAGTAATGCACAGAGATGCATGACGAATTCAGATAAAGCGTTTACATACAGACTGTATTGTTCAGTGACCCTCGACTCTATCCAGTAACAGCCACCTGTGTCGCTCCAGTCACTCAGGGCCGATGAAACTCCACTAACAGCGGCACACTCAGAATATTCCTGTTCTTCTGGATCTGCTGTCGCTCTGCGCAGATCTCGGGTCGTGTGTGTGCAGGTCCAGATTACTACACTAAAGACTTTAATGAGGGGAATCTCATTAGACGCCACAGGAGCAGAAGCACGTGCAGCTCACACACACACACACACTCACACACTCACACACTCATACACTCATACACACTCACACACACACACTCACTCACTCACTCACACACTCTCACACACATACACACACACACAGACACACACACACACACATACAC